CGCCCCAGCGGGTGCTGAGGTGGCGCGGGTTGCGGGGGGGCCAGGGAGCTCGGGCCGTAGCTTCCCCTTGGTTTGGGCCCGAGCCCCTTTCGGACCAAGTCCCTGGCAGGCTCCCCCGCCCCAGGGAGACAGAATCTGTGAAAGCGCCGGGAGGAGAGGAGAGGAGAAGCCGGGACGCTGCCCCGGGCGCCCGTCCGAAGGGCGGCTCCCTCCCTCCCCGGGGCGCTGCACTCACTTTGTCGAAGCAGACCAGGTTCAGCTGCCCGCACACGTTGATCCTCTGGGGGCTGATGCAGAAGATTCCCTTTTTCTTCAGCCTGCCCTGCGTGTACATGACCCCCGTGGCCAGCGCCGCGGGCAGCGCCGGGGGGACGGCGATCGTGATGACGTCCAGCGCCTTCTTCACCACTTCTCCCACCGCTTCCTATGAGCGGGGAGGGAACAAGCGCGGGTTGTACCTCTCCGGTGTCTCCTGGGAGCAGATCGGCCGCGGATTTACCACGGCGCCCGGGGCCCTGGGCCCACGCTCAGAAGGGCCCGTAATGCCCAGGAGCTCCCGCATTGCGCTGTGCAGCGGGAGCCCACGGGACATGATGGGGAGCCCACCGAGAGCAGCTGCAGCTGTGGGACTGTACTGAGCTGAGACCAGGCCCACGTGCAGTGACTGGGGAACTGGGCTGGCCCTGCAGGCCTGGCTATAGAACAGGGGCTGGGAACCTGCGGCCTGGGGGCCGGATGCTGCTCCCGGTCTCAGCCCCCCGCCCCCCAGCAATGGTGCTCCAGACCCCTGCTGTTCCCCCGGGAGGCTGGGCCCCCAACAACTACCAGCCTGGGCCCCAGGCTCTGGTGTGCAGCCCCCGACTGATTTTCCCGTGTGTCTGTGGCCCCCATCCAAAACGGGTTCCCCGGCCCTGCGCTAGGATGTCTGGAGGAGGAAGGAGATAAACCTGTGGGGAGAATCTGTACCTCGAAGAGGACGCTCAGAGACACTGGGGAGACCTTGGAGGGGATGTTAACTTGTGGGATACTTGTGGGGTCTTGGACCTTGCCATGAAAACAAACAGGCCTTGTGTCTGGAAACGCAACTTCATTTTAAAATCATAGAATCCTAGGACTGGAAGGGACCTCGAGAGGTCATCGAGTCCAGCCCCCCGCCCTCAAGGCAGGACCAAGCTCCGTCTACACCATCCCTGACAGATGTCTATCTAACCTGTTCTTAAATATCTCCAGAGAGGGAGATTCCACCACCTCCCTTGGCAATTTATTCCAATATTTGACCACCCTGACAGTTAGGAATTTTTTCCTAATGTCCAATCTAAACCTCCCCTGCTGCACTTTAAGCCCATTACTCCATGTCCTGTCCTCAGAAACCAAGAGGAACAAATTTTCACCTTCCTCCTTGTGACACCCTTTTAGATATTTGAAAACCACTATCATGTCCCCCCTTAATCTTCTTTTTTCCAAACTAAACAAGCCCAGTTCATGAAGCCTGGCTTCATAGGTCATGCTCTCTAGACCTTTAATCATTCTTGTCACTCTTCTCTGTACCCTTTCCAATTTCTCCACATCTTTCTTGAAATGTGGCGCCCAGAACTGGACACAGTACTCCAGCTGAGGCCTAACTAGTGCAGAATAGAGCGGCAGAATGACTTCACGAGTTTTGCTTACAACACACCTGTTGATACAACCTAGAATCATATTTGCTTTTTTGGCAACAGCATCACACTGTTGACTCATATTCAACTTGTGGTCCACTATGACCCCTAGATCCCTTTCCGCCATGCTCCTTCCTAGACAGTCGCTTCCCATCTTGTATGTATGGAACTGATTGTTCCTTCCTAAGTGGAGCACTCTGCATTTCTCCTTATTAAACCTCATCCTGTTTACCTCCGACCATTTCTCTAACTTGCTAAGGTCATTTTGAATTATGTCCCTATCCTCCAAAGAAGTTGCAACCCCACCCAGTTTGGTATCATCTGCAAACTTAATAAGAGTACTCTCTATCCCAATATCTACATCATTGATGAAGATATTGAACAGTACGGGTCCCAAAACAGACCCTTGAGGAACTCCACGTCAGGGCAAGAATGTCCTGCAGATACAAGCACGTTTCAAAAGTGCAGCCAGCTCCGTACGCGCCAAATGGCCGTGCCCCCTGGAGTCGGAGGCGGGGGCTCCTCCCACTCACCCCACTGAGCGCGAAGACGCACACCGCGTAGACCATCCCCACCATCGCCAGCAGCACGAGGCACGTCAGGAACCGTATGGCGTCTCGGTACAGCTTGAAATCCATGGGTTTCGGGTAGAGAATGGACCTCACCAGGCCCCCTTTGGCGGTGTTGAAACCTGGAGTGACAAACCAAACCCAGCGACATCAAGTCAACAGTGGCCCTGGGACCAAGCGTCCCGGCAGAGCCGCAGCGGAACGAAACGGTTCAAGCGACCGCAGCTTCCCATCCCATGTCCTGACTCATAAAAGCGGCTGTGTGGACCCGCTCATGCCAGAGACGGCGGTGCTTGTCCTAAGCCGCCATCAGCACGGGCAGTGCCGCACACGCGCCAAGAGCAGAGCCGGGGGAACTTCCGCGGGGCTAAACACAGCAGCGAGTAACGGTGTGACTGGCGCAAGACACGCCGATTGCCGGGTAGGTTTGCCCCGCGATACAGGTCAGACAGTCCTGTCCGCCGGGGGAGCGTTGGAAGCGATGGCTTGTGCTAACGGGCCCCGGGGGCAGGCGCTGGGCGCTCGGGCTGGTTTCACAGAGCAGGAGGGATGAGGAGCACTGTGCACGGTTTCGGGGCGGAGCTGTGCCATCCCCGGCTAACCCCGCCCTCGGGGGGCTCCCAGACACCTGTGGGCTTGGGGGAGGGTGAGTCTCAGGGATCCTCACTACTGGGTCTTGGGAAAGTCGTTTTGTGCCTCGAGTTTCAAATTCATCCAACATTTCAGTTGGAAATTTGGCTGCGAGGAGCAGCCAGGTGAATTGCATCAAACCGAAAGGCGTTTTCTGAGAACCCCCACCCCCAAAAGGTCCAATCTGCTGCTGTTCTGGGCTACCTTCTGCACTGAATGACGCCCCTGGAGCAGGGCCATGTATCTGTGGCTCCTGTGTGAGGAACAGCAATGGGGGGGTGCTGGAGTGCTGGTACCCCTGCTCCTCCTGGCCTGGTCGCGTCTCTGCCTCGGAGCAGCAGGGACATGTTGGGAGCCCCCCCCAGGGGAGCACCTCTCCTGTGCCCCAACCCCCTGTCCCACACCCCCTCATGCACCCCAACTCCCTCCCAAAGCCTGCAGCCTTCTCATGCCCAGCCCTGAGCCCCTCCTGCCCCCAAACGCCCTCCCTCTCTGGCAGGGCTGTCACTGTGCACGTCAGAACCCGGCTTGGCAGGAGGCTTGATGCTTTCAGGGCTCAGCCAGGGCAGCTTGCAATGAACCCAGTGCCTCCGGGGCTTCTGCAAGAGGAGCTCCCCGGGGACATCACAAAACTCCCGGGGAAGGGGCTGGTGCCGACGATCGGTGTAACTGGGGGAAAGAGACTTGTGGGGCAACCGGGACACGGGGGCGGGAAAGTGGGGCCCTGAAGTTGAGCCGCGCGTTGGTCAGCTCAGAAAAGCCATTTTCCCGGAGCGTGCAGGACCCCGCGGACGCCAGCGCGGCAGAGCGGCCTTTGTGCAGTCGTGCGCCGGTTCGGCCTCCTCCTGGCTGTGCGCTCCCCACGCTCGGCGCCGCGCCAGGCCTTAGGCAGCCTGTGGTCGGAGCCGCCTGCAGTTTGCACCCGGGTTGGCTAAGGTCTGGCTGGGTCAGAGCCGGGCAGCCTCTTGCCTCGCCAAGCCGGCTTCTCCCTTTGCACTGCCGGGTGTCTCCTCTGGGCCACACCCCCACGAGCCCTGTCGGGCCAGCCCTGCCGCCGGGCATGCCCCAGGTGCTCGTGCCCGGACACGGCCACGCGCCCGGAATGCCAGGCCCCGCCCAAGGGCGCTCACAACGTAAATCGCCAGCAATACAAGAGCCTCCCTCCCTAACCCACCCCAACCCAGCACCGGGGCTGGGCCTTGCAGGGTGCTATGCTCAGCCTGCCTGGGTTGGATGGGGCCGAGGAGCAATTTCCTCAGGGGGACACCTTGCCAAAAGCCCCCCCAACCAGGACGCTG